GTAAGATGATATTCTTCTTAAACGAATTAAAAAAGAAAGATGTCACATGATATGGGACAGAGGAGTATATAATTTGAATGTTTCTTAAGAAATGACCACTAGTATTAAGAAAATGAAATATAAGGTATAGTCGAAAAATATACAATTTTTAAGATATATTTTTTTACAAAAAAAAAATAAAAAAAATATCACTTATTTTGTAACATGAATTTAAGTTATGCCGCCTGGTCGTTCACAACCGAACCAAAACCTATTTCTTTGCACATTCATATTCCTCAAAATTTTGAAGAACTTTATAAGTAAGATGATATTCTTCTTTAACGAATTAAAAAAAGGATATCACATAAAATGGAACAGAGGAGTATATAATTTGAATGTTTCTTAAGAAATGACCACTAGTATTAAGAAAATGAAATATAAGGTATAGTTGAAAAATATACAATTTTTAAGATAATTTTTTTACAAAAAATAATAATAATAAAGAATGTCACTTATTTTGTAACAGGAATATAAGTTATGCCGCCTGGTCGTTCACATCCGAACCAAAACCTATTTCTCTGCACATTTGTGTTCCTCAAAATCTTGAACAACTTTGTAAGTAAGATGATATTCTTCTTTAACGAATTAAAAAAAAAAGATGTCACATGAAATGGGACAGAGGAGTATAAATTTGAATGTTTCTTAAGAAATGACCACTAGTATTAAGAAAATGAAATATTAGGTATAGTTGAAAAATATACAATTTTTAAGATAATTATTTTACAAAAAAAATTTAAAAAAAATATCACTTATTTTGTAAAAAAAAATCCCCTTAACTCATAGTTCCTTAATAAATAAATGTGATAAGGGTCTGAAAAATACCTCAACTTTGGTTGGATTTGTTGTTGCGATACTAAACTTTCATGAGGACCTATTACCTCCCTAGACTATTTAATACCGTATTTTAAATATATATATTTGCCTACGTGGACATAAAAAATAATGCAAAATTATATATAGTAATGTCTCCACGTGGGCACATATATACCTTTAAAATACACTATTAAATAGTTTAGGGGGTAAAAAATACGGTATTAAATAGTCTAGGATGGTAATAGGTCCTTATGAAAGTTTAGTATCACAACAGAAAATCCGACCAAAGTTGAGGTATTTTTCAGACCCTTATCCCTAAATAAAATCATAACTTTCAAACTTTTCATATTCATAACTTTCAATTATTTAATGTACAAATTTGTAACATCTTAAAATCATTTTAATAGATTTTTTTTTTGAGGTATATATTCATCCCACTATAATTGTCTTCTTTATTAGAGTTAACAATATAGATTCATGTATTTTTCCATCTTAAATTTTTATAATTGTTAATTAAATTTAATTGATGTGGAGTAATAACATGTTAAAAGATGGGAGATTAATTTTTATTTTTATTTTATAATTAAAAAAATATTAATTCAATTCAATCAACTTTTCACCTCTCACTATAACTATCTTCTTAATTGGAGATTTTATATGATTCATCCACCTTTAATTTTATATTTTTTAATTAATTTTATTAATGTGGAGTAATAATGCATTAAAAGATGGGAGATTAAAAGACAAAAATTAGCCTCTATATATATATATACACACACCTTTCACTACCAAACTATGCATACATGAACTTACTTTAGTTTTAGTTGTTCTTAAGAAATGCTTCCACATAATTTTCAATGTATTTTAATTTGTTTTTTGGAGTAGTAGCAATTTATCTAATGAGATCATGTATTGATGAATATTTATCTTAATTACACTTACTATATGTGTTCTATTCTCTGTAAAATTTCTTCATAGGCTAAGATTTCTCATCTTATTGGTTGAAATTTTTATATTTTTGCTTCATTACTACTTTTTGCTCAACATTTGCCAATTTTTAATGATACATGCTATGTCATCTATATTGAGAAGCTTGGTACATATAACAAATTTCTTCTAAGGTGATTTTATGCACTCAATTTTAAATTCATAAAAATAAATTCTGCTCCTACTTTATTTCAATTTCTTTTATGATATATTATTTTCTTAGATTAACTTTGTTCAATAATATGATTAATGATTGATATTGGTGTAACTTTGAAAACTGTTTTGAAGTTTATGACTCAAAAATATAAACAATATCTTAACAAGAAATTAAAAGGAAAATAAGAAGTCTACTATTAAAAATAAGTCATTTATATTTGGTCATAAAATTAATAACATGCATTATACATTATATATGTATAATGCATTTGAAATAATTGTTATGAGTAGTGCAAGAGTCAAACTATTCACTAAGTAACTGTAATTTTTTAATTCTTCTTAATCAGTGGCGGATTCAGGATTTAGAGTCCGTGGGTGCCAAATAGACTTATCGATTAAATTAATTTTATATTTGATTAAATTATTTGTCTTTTCGATATATATCATAAATCAATCAATAAAATGTAAATAATAAGATATTGCACTTTTATTGAGTATTTAATCAAATAAAAGAAAAATCAAAGGAGTAATAATGTAATTAATTTAATTTAAGTCAATAACAATTATAAAAAAATAAAAATAAAAATTGTGCCAGCTGTTTTTCCTTAAAAAAACGTGCTTGGAGCCTTTTTTTTTTTCTTAAAAAACATCTGCATCAAATTTCTCAAAAAAATAGGTACAAATGGGATTCGAACCCGCAACATCAGCCTTCTAAAGTTGCCCTCTTACCATGGCACCACAAGACAGTTTTGTTCTGTGGGTGGCACGCTTTATATTTATATAAATATTATATATATATACCTATGTATATATAGAGTTTCCGTCGAAGTTCGGGGGTGGCGTGGCACCCCCAAACCTCTGCATAGATCCGCCACTGTTCTTAATAAAGATATCATTGCAAGAGTCAAATTATTCACTAAGTAACGGTAATTTTTTAATTTTTCTTAATAAAGATATCGCTCAAGTAAATTAGTAACTTCTTTGTATATTAATGCCTAATGGTAGTTAGAAGTTGGTTAATTCATCTCTTTATATATATATATATATATATATATATATATATATATTATCATGAGCTTATAAATGTATATAATACCTTTTGTTTGGAAAAAAGAAAGAAAAAAATGCATTATCCATGAAAGTGAAAGTATTCAATTTTATATTTATTCTACAGATAACTCAATATTATTAATAGATGTTCCATCAATTATTTTTATTTTCTTATATTTTTCTGATTATCTATATCGTATATACACATAAAATTTCGCATATACAAGACGATATGATACTTTTCTATAACAATTATTCATAACTTTTTTTCATATTTTCTATTGACATCTTTCACTATTATTTTCATTTGATTGTTTTAAAGAATCTAATATCCATTATTAATAAGAAAAAGTCAGATAAAGAATCAAAAATCTGATGTGATACCTTTTTACGGTCAATATTTTTATTTATTTCTTTCTTAATTTTTTTTAATCTTTTGTTCCATTTATTTATTGTATTAAAAAACTATTGAAGAAGATAAGGAAAAAGATAATGTCCAGTATATTAACAATAGGTAACTATCTGTAACAATAATAGATAAATGTTAAAATTAAAAGAAAAATAAATAATCATTTAAGAGGAAAAACAAGTCTTAGCTATAATTAAAATAGAATTTATCTTTTTATTTCTATTTAATTTATAAAAAGTTCATTCTAAATTATTGTTATACCGCGCAAAGCGCGGATAAGTTTCCTAGTTATCGTATAAATTGGGACCAAAAAAATACCAATCTACTAGACAAAATACCTAAACCAAACAAAAATATGATTTTCTAGATATCATTTAAATGTTTGAGCTCAAGATGATTCTTGATTTGATTTTCTCTCTAATGTATGAATAAACCAAGTACAAGAAATCGTAATAAAGTGTGCGAACTCCTTAACTTTGGATTTGGCAAAAGTTACTGGATTCATGTGAATTCACAACTTCTAAGCTTGGTCCGCTCCTAGCTTAGAAGTTTGAGTAGCTCTCGTCTTTCGGAGAAAATCTCTAGCACTTGGTACAATACAATAGCTTCTTTGACCTCTTCTTAATCCTTCAACACAGACACAATTTTGTGATCAACATGGTGGTACTCTACCTGTTCCATTGGAGGGAAAAAGGTCTTCTACCTTCCGGAAAATGAATCTTGCATTAGGAAGATGAAGTCCTAAATTGTATTCCTCGTCATTGAACTTTGTCCGATTCAACGTTGTCTTGTAACTGCTGGTGGCATACATAGGGTGACCCCTAGCTATTGATGCCTGCAACATTACAGAATAGTCAGTCATATTGCAAAAATCATACAATTGAAAAAAGGTTCTACTATCCGTGCAACTAAGGTAGCTACTCCGTTTGCTATCCGGACAGCTTGCCAGAATAACATGAAACTTAAATATTCAACAATGTCGAGTGTTAGTTCCCTATCGTTCTCTAGCATGTGCAGTTCAAAATTCAAATGAGCAGCTTCAAAGAAGGAGATTGTGCTTCGTAGCACGAGTTTGTTGACATGGAAGAAGGGATATTGCGCTATACTTTGTATGAACTCCTACAAGTTGCATTCCAGTTTAACCACCTTCAGCTTCACGATTATATAGTTTTTGGAAGATATGCTCTTTTCGGCTCAATGACTAACTCATAAATTTCTGTCACAAGTTTCAGGTAATTAAAAGTTAGGTTCTAAGAGAGACAAGGAATGCATGTTGTGACATCCATGATAGAATGGAAGTAATTAACACGCGTTCACAAGTTAAACAACTAAATTCCTAGTTTATGAAAGAGGGGTTGTTGATTAAATGTAAGCTTCTAGTTGATATAGCATCAGAGATTCAAAACGTTTACTTAAACGGTTCTTTATTGTTTACTCTCCTTTTGGAACAAGCATCACTAACAGTTAAAAGGGAAACTAGATGAGAATTAGCACTATTGAAGAACTAACCACGTGATCTTTCTCCAATTCAAGATGCCAAAATCTCCAATCTTCTAGTTCTTTGCCATCAACCTTGACAAATATGTTTTCCCAGTTTTTGTGATGAAATTCGATGGTGTCCAATTTGTAACCCACACCATCACCAATGGCTTTGACAAATGCTTCCTTTACACTCCAATATCTGCATAAGTTGTCAGATCTGTCAGTGTAATCTTTCTATCATTTAGCATGAATTTTGTTTGTCGGACGACAAAACCTGTCATTCAACTAATCACCAAAAAAAAAGATGTTCCTAATATCTAATTCTCTACTCCCTCTACATCAAATTCAACTCTACAAGCTAGTTTGTTGAGGTGGTTGTGAAGTATGAACCTTTTTCCGACAAGTGATGTGATAGATTACTCTTTGATTCATGTCGATGCTGGAAGGATAAATTTAGAACCCTCATGAAGGTTGAAAAATCTGGCATACTCATTTCAGGGAAGTAGAGATTAATTTGGCAAGGCTAGACGTAGAAATTGTAACATCCAATTTGAAATTATGAACGTAGAACAAATGGTAATACTATTGCAGTAAAGAAAAGGTCGTTGGTCAAGGCAATTGTTTCTAGTTGCTAGTAGCTAGACCAAATCTCAGTATGATTGTTACGACTTACAAACAAGTGACGGAGATGCCTTGGAAGTTATTACTTGCCTACAACTTTTACAGTTTTAGTCTCCTCAAAGAGATCGTTCCCAAGGAGTTGTTGAAGGAAGTACGAGTGAGTTGCATTTTTTCACCTTATTTTCCAGTAAAACATATTTAACAAGCAAATAAGCAGGGGATGAGTTGGTAACAGCAGAAGCTAATATCACACTACGCCGCGTATCATAAAATGTTAGAAACCAACTTGTCATATTTTCCTAAGGAAAATGATTGTTGAGCAGTTTGAATGACCTATATATGGTCGTTCCCAGAACTCAGCAGTACAAAGGTTGATTTTCTTTCTCTAAATGAGGTATGACGGTTCATTTAACTTAATCATTAGCCATCTGAGCTCAACTTTATCCAAGGGAACTATTTCCAACCAAAGAGACTAATAAGTTCTTGGATAAAAGAGCAGATCTTTTAGAGAAGTTCTCTTTATGTAACTTGTCAATAATGTTCTAACAAAGAATATCTATTCAGCCAAGGCTTATCCATAAATGAGACACCAAACTCTAACGAGTAATGGAAGAGAAAACAAGTTATACATAGTACTCTCTCTGTGATCTCTAACTCGAACATGGAAGAACACTTTGAAAATCACATAGTTGTACGAGTTTGAGGTTAATCAAGAATAAAATGCTTTCAGTAGTGGCATTTACATTTGCATTAAATAAGATCTATAAATAGAGAGGTACCTATAAAACTCACTCAAAATCTGACGAGAAGAGCCAGCATTGATTATATTAAACCATTCCAGACTTGAGAAGTATGATGAGAAGCTCTGAATGAATTCTTCCACTGATTCTTTCTCAGGGATGGTTTGAGAAACAACATCCAATCCCACAAGGCATATTGGTTCAGAAGCAATAGCCACAAAATCACCATGATGTGATGCATTGAAGTTAAAATTTGGCAACTCCAACTTCAGTTTGTCACATTCCTAGAAGAGGATAGGATTAACGATATTGCAAATGTGAAGATATCGACTGCAATCAACAGCAAAGCAGGTAGCATGAAGAACACACTCAAATTAAACAATCAATGTTACTCTGGCATCAAGAATGTAATTTCAAACATATATAATGAGAATCTTTTCAGCTGAATCAGAATATGTGATTCTGAAACTGAATCTTTATCGATGATGTAAACATGAAAAATATGAGAAAGCATCAGTAATTGGGAGAATTTTCCAAAGATGAATTATGTAAATGCTGGTAAACCATGTATGATATGATCAAAACAACAGATGTAAGTTCTTGAAAGTTGCAATTGTCTAATCTTCATGGATTTTACGGAGTCTACTTTGGATAAGTTTGGTTTATTTGGATATGGGAAACGACAGCTGCATCCACTAATACAAGGGGGAAAAGATCTGTAAGAAGAAACCAGTACATATTAAATTCTTATGCCCAATATACATCACTTGAAAACTTCCTCATTGATAAATAAGTGGTGTTCAAATAGGAGAGAAGCGCAGGACTTGGCCGAGAGAGAACTTTCTTCATGGCTGATGAAGCGGGACCAAATTGAAGAGAAAAAAACTATTCGACAGATATTACGGAAAGTATGTGTTTGACACTGATGAGAAACTAATTCATCAATTGACAACAGCAGGAAATTTCGTATATACAATCCGGAAAAAGGGGTCAACATCATGCTTCTCATGTCATATTCCAAGTATTTGTCTTGTGCAAGTTGTCTAGTGGATAATAAACCTTTATAGAACACATTTCTAGTATAAGGCTACTGCAAATAATTATAGCGAAATTCCATCCAAGGACGAGTCATTTTACACCTCTAATCTTTGACTTTAGAGGAAAGACTTGGAAGAATGCAAGAATCCAGATAGTTATTGATAAAAGACACACTTCTGATAAGGTACTTCAACGAGCAAACATGAAAAACATAATTTCAACAAAAAATGAGAACCAAAAGCTAGTGCATTTTCAGCATTGTACCTGACTACGTTCTAAATATAACAGGTATGGTTTCCCCTCAGCAGTGCGCCTGATGACAATTTCGTTATATGGGATCCCCAAGACTTGATGTATCAGTGCATACTGCAACAATCTGCTCACAAGAGCCCGTTTTCGATCTTCCATTTTAAAGAACCTAATCAACGAGTGACAAATCCGCTCAACTTTCTACAAAGGGTAATCTTGATAACCAAATTTCTCAACAAGCTTTTTTAAACACCCATATATACTTAAGCAAGTAAAAACAAAGTGCATATTCAAAATATTGCTTTGGTACACACCTTTTAGCAATAGAGAATTAAAGAATTCTAGAATAAACACAGATGAAAACTTTTACTTGAAATACAAAGTGCATATTCACAATTCAAAATTAAGGCAAGTATAACAAAGTACAAACTCACAATTTACTTCCATAGACAGCTTTATGCAATCAAGAAGAAAAAGTACCAGATAAAATTAAAAATCATTTTACTTGAAATGCATCAATTGTAGTTCAATTATAGGATTATTGTTGTAGTACTATTTTACTACTATCTGTTGTTTTTGTTATTTTCTATTGTCTCGTACTTCCATTACATCTTTTCCTAAACTGTTTTTGTCTTGAGCCGAGGGTCTATCAGAAACAGTCTCTCTACCACAGAGGTAGATTTAAGGTCTACGTACACTCTAGCCTCCCTAGATACCACTCCGTGGGATTACACTGGGTATGTTGTTGTTGTACAACAATTTAGCACTTCAAATAAAACATAAAACCCTTGGAAACTTTATGCAATCAAGAACCAAATGGTATACAATAAACTAAAAGATAAAAGCTTTACATGATATACACAATTTTTAGCATTTCAATCTATATACAATTTATGCAATCAAGAACCAAAGTAGTATAGACTAAACTTAAAGATTAAAACTTTAAATAATATACATAAATTGTTAGCATTTTATAGAAAGTCCAAGGACCCTTTGTGCAATCAAGAAAGAAAGAAGTGTGTGATAAAGCTAAAGATGAAAACTTTACATAAAAAAACTGAAGGGCAGAAGAGGTAGAATCAAGAAACCTGGTAATAGAGGAGTGTTCATGTTGGGGAAGAAAGGACATAGCAAAAGAGAAGTAATTGGGAGATGGGTTCCATTCAGAAATGTCAACTATCCATCTATGGACACCCTTCTCCAATTCCATTTCCAAAACTTACATAGAAAAGAAAATAGTGTTGAATTTCAACTTTTCTTCCTAATAAATTGTTGCTGGCCAGTTCCAATTCACTTGTATTTTACAAGAATGACCTTTGTCTTTTTTTTTTTTTTTCTTAAAAGGAGTGATATCCGTACTGAAACACGATTAAATTCAGAATTTCTAATAAAGATAACACCATCCTCAAAAGATTCAAATCCGGAAAATGATTAAGAATAAAAGAATAGTTATCTTTCCACAACTCTAATAAGTTATGGGCATAAATTTAATTTTACACGTGAGACAAAAATTTAGGATATTTTAATAAGTGTCTTTTGAAAAATAAGTTGTATATGTAACTTTAATTGTTTACAAATTATGATAAAGACATAATACATAAATATATCTTTTAATTTGATCTTAATTAAAAGTCATAATATATAAATCGCGTCTTACATAATATAATACAAATCAATTCAGGTATATCTGAATTGTTTCCATTATCAATACTCTCCAGCAAAAGAATGAAATGTCCTTTCCATTATTTAATGGGGCATCAATTATGGAGTTCAAAATATTTTAATACTTAATCCTAATTTATATGATATATTTTATTTTATTTTTAGTTAGTCACACAAAAATAATAATTTTTTTTATTCAGTAAGTAATAATTTAACTTTAATAAAAATTACGGAAGCAAAATCTTTTTAGTTGACTAATTGGATTGTGTGTGGATCACTTTCACATAATCAACAATTAGTTGCCTACCAATTCTTTGGCTTTGCAGTCTTGAATTAGGTGGCCAAAACGGTTGAGCAGAAACAACAACATTCTTGTAATAAGAAAAAGCATCTTAAACTTATAAACTCATAACAAAAAATTCAAAATAATTCAAATCAATTGATTCAAAATCGAACTTAAAAGTTTGGATCGAATTTCAATTACATTTAGCAAGATCCAAAAATCAAAATATAAAATCGAATACCTCAAATTCGATCCAGTCGCAATCCTACATATACAAGTACTAGCTAACTATCTGTCTTGACTTTGGGAAATTTTAGTAGCTTAATTGATTGACTACTGAACTTTCATCTTGTTGGTGAAAGTTCGAGTCCCCACCTTGTTGTCCCTTTTCGTTTGATTCCCCACCTTACGGTTCCCTCTCGTTCGATACCCCATTTTTTAAAAATAATAATAATTTGTCTTTACCTTTTACATAGTTGAACAAACCAACATTTTTCCCATCACGGCAATATGACATCTTTTGTTTGGATCAATATATCAATCGTCATGAAAGACACAACCAACCACCAACACAATCCTTCGTTCTTTTCTCATTTAGCACAAAATTTTGTCATTTCTTTTGTCTTTTTATGTTCAATTTTTGAGTCTTCACATACTATAAATAACTTCACTTTTCATTATAAGTTCATTCAACTTTCAAGAACTTTGTGGAAAACATCATGAAGTATGTGAAGCTATACAAATCCCATGGAAGCCAAGAAGATGAATTGTCAAGTGGCAGCAATACTCAGAAGAATAGTGAGTTAACAGATGATCATGACAAGCAGAAGGTTAAAAGATTCAAAGCAGCCATGCAGAAAGTGATGTTAAAATTTGAGTCCAAAAAATCTCAAGAGGAAAATCCAGTTCGGTCGGAGAAAGCTAGTTAATTGTGTGTGACCATCTCATCTAAAAAAAGTGTAAACGGTAATAAGGTATATATATTCTTCATCTTTATCAGTTTCATGGTTTATTATGGTGTAATGTACCTTTTATATCAATTATGAACTACCAGTCACTAATCAAATGTCAAAACGTATAGTATAATGGTACAAGTGAGAGTCTTCAACGTAATAAGCGTGAGTTCAATTTTCATTGTTCTACTTTCACCTTTCCATGGCAAAGAAAATCTTATTCTTTACAACAACTAATGTACATAGGATTTGGGCAAAAAGGAGAAAAAATAACAAAACCTTCTGTTTCTGAACCGTTAACATCGTTGATTTGTTACTACAGATCGACTATATAGTATATACTCACACTTCTAAGTGTATATATAACAACTAACATACATAATATGAGTATATAATAAGTTATCAGCTAGATTTGCCACGCAACTTAGCAGCTTCTGAGCTAGTTGTTGTCATGAAAGATTCTCCACAACCACATTGTCCAGTTGCATTTGGATTGACAAATATGAACTCAGATCTGTTCATGAAATCAAATATTTCAGTTTTGGTGCTTATGAGACGCAAATAACGATAAACCAGGTAAATGAATAGCAATATATTGGAGTGCAAATGGGTGATGCAAGTTAATGCTACTAGAATTCACGCAGTTAAGTATGGTGGATCAGTTTCACAAGGACAAAGATGACAATGAATCGAACCAGAAAAACTACATTTTTAACTCAATCTCACTAATCAGTATATGAAGTTCATATTCCTTTCATTCTAAAAAGGGAAGACATGAATCATGGGTGAAGTCTGTATAATTTGAAAGAATAGTTTCTTATACTCATCCATAGGAATCACAGACAATGAGACGAGAGAAAGTAAAGAGAGTCAAGAGACTGCACTATAGCTAGACATGACAAGCAAAAGAGAATCGGTAATGTAATTGCTATTCTGTTACACCTTATTTTTCCTTAAAGTGGAGTCCTAAAAGTACATGATAGGCTAATCTAGAGAAAGTTACAACACAAGTCGCAAAGGTCATCTGGGCAAAATCCTACTTCTAAGTCAAGTTAATTTTAAAGCAACTGAAAGATTCAGCAGAATAACAAAAAGAAGCTCGTCTCTGCAGGGAAAGAAGAAAAGACTGCAGCTCACTTCAGCCTATTAAACATCAAAGTTATGTCATAATCATACTGATAAACTAAAAATATTAACTTGCTTGGATATTAGTTCATAGAGATACTTAATGTCGTGACATGAGACGGTACTGGAAAAACTAGAAAGTTAAACTTGGTTTAATCTTAGCTTATACTAATAGTGGTACTGAATCCTGTGATTTGAAAGCTCTAAGAAAAAGATTATAAGAGTGACCATAAGAAAAAGATTACAAATGCAACAGTAGCACCATGAATAAATGACATATGGACTATGAGTCTATAATTATACTAGTACGATATAAAGCAGAAATACCATCTCATACCTGAGTTTATCATCAACAAAATCCATCTCGGTACCTATAACATGCATAAGTGCCTTTGGATCAATCAGTATCTTCACTCCCTTGTCCTCAATCAACTCGTCAAATTTTCCTTTATCGTCTGTACAAGCAAGGTAAATCAATGGCAAGTGACAGAAGAAATTTCATGTATGATTTACTTTTTCGTTGATAAATCTCACATATGGTTTACTTTTTACTTTTAAGAAATTTCAAAGATGGTTTGCTTTTCTTTAAGACATTTCACAGAGGGTACACCAGTTATTAAGCTAAAGATAGGCAAGTTCTAAAGGTAATTAATTATGATTAATCGGCAGAATAATCTGTAGGGACATGCTTGCACAAATCGGTTGAACTAGCTCTATGCAGATGTTGAGAGCAGGGTATTGAAACTTTGCGCACAAAGTAAATGTAGACTATTATTGTGAACTCCATTACACCTCTGACGTGCCTGAATGCACACATTTGATGAGTTAATACACACTACTGAATTCACTCGGTGTGAATAAGATTAAATCATCAGTAGACCAATTATACATTAAGTGCAGCTCAAATTATGCCAGAAACAGATGCAAGATATTTCTTTTTTGATAACCGAGAAATCCCCTAGGGCCAATGGCCCAGGGTTCGAAATTCAATGCATAATGGTCCCGCTCCTCCTCCCTTCTTTACTTAAGTACCAAGCCGTTGTCTACAATATGGTTCAAACCCGTAACATGCACCTAACTCACACATCGTGAGGTACACTCTTATCACTAGACCAAAGCCCTGGGCTGCGGATACAAGTCATTTTCTTATTTAGCAGATGCAGATAATTAACAGTTAGCACAGTCAAAAAGAAAATCTGGAAGGATGGCAAAAGAGTGGAATATGGCATTCATTTTCCGAACCATTCTTTTTGGATCAATCTTCAATTTCCAAAGTCATCAGTCCATTATGTTAGGCAACATTGGTGCAGAAGTCTTAGTCAGGCAAATGAGCAAGCTGAGAGAGGATATATTTCATCATTTTTGCTGACTCTTTATTATTTAATCTGTCAAGGCAAATACTCCCTCCTTCCCATTTGTTTTTGACTAATTAACCAGACACGACATTTACAATGTTAGTGTGTATTTATGAATAGTAGGTATGGTTGAGTTCAACATGGAGAATATCACATCAAAGTTAGAAAAAAAAAAAACATGGCTATAAGAATTTTCTTGAAAATTAGTGTAAGTTGGGTAAATAATAAGTATATTATTTGAATGGTTCAAGCATTTTGGACCTTACAAATGGAGAGAGCGCTATATAACTTGGGGGCAGAGGGGTAGATTTTATGCAATCTATTTGCTACCGACATATTAATTTCTGATAGATGTTAAAGAAAATCATGATTACGACTGTTGTAAAGCAAAAGATATTTGTGCTAAAATGACATTATCGTTTTTGTATTTGCAAGCAACTTCAAATCACCTTAAAACCAAAAAAGATCAATAAATAAGAAAAGTATTTCAAACTCTATCTTAATACCACTTCTTCCCCTCCTTCATCTCTCATTCAACGGGATGCGTGTCACCTCCCACCAGCAACAAGTTTCAAGTAAATGTATCAACCAAGACTAGGATAGATGGAGAGATATCACTATCATGCTATCTATAACCAATTTTTCTTTTTTCAAAAAGAAACCCAAAGAGGGTTATGAAATACCGACAATGCAAAGTGCAAAACCATACACCCAAAATTGGTAACACTAGACAAAAAAAAAAAATCCAACATAGAAAGCATTCTATAAATCACTCCTAAGAAAATTCACCATTCCCTGCCTCTTTATAGACCCCTTACCCTACCATCGCGCCACAGGGGCAGAGCTACAATCCTATCTA